AGCACGTTTATAGGTTGTGCGCGAATGGAATACCACCCGATTGCCCAAACCGAACAAGACGATTTTCTTGGGGATACGCAATTGGAGCATTCGATTCACCATTCTTCCTCCTCATCATCATTATCGTCGTCGTGCAGTGCAGCAAACTTCACTAATCGCTGCGAAACTCAGAATGCACAAAAGGTAAGTGAGAATATGTAAGCAATACAGGGACTGAGTCTATTTTATGGACGGGCAAATGAAGTGGAACTCCATCATCAAAACAGAGTACACAGTCCAAATGAGCATACACAAGTGTCATGACCTTCAGCAACCATCCAGTTACGGAGTCTTTTGGATCCCAACCTGTGCATTTCTCCATGCCTCGTCTCCCGGTGGCTTGCTCTAGTCCGTAGTGGCCACTGCAAACAAGGCTCAGTGCTTTACGCAACCGTTAGATAGATGCAACACGCATCCTAACCAACAGAGCCTAGTGAACTGAATTCGACGCGATAGCGAGTTCATTCTTCATGCATTACCAAACACCTGACGACTAACGTTGAGGTTACCAACACGTTCACTTCATACAACATAGGCCAGACCACGTGAACAACAATAATCGAAAACTATTAGCCCATGGATATCTACTATCCGCAAATTTAAGGTTTCACAATCAAAAAGCAAAAATAAATGAACGATAGCACAGTATACACGACCTTTCAAATTCAGTGAAACGTCACGTCGTCCTGCGTATGCTGCTGGAGTCTCGGAAATGCCAGCAGTTATCTCTTTTGATGCGCTACCGTCGTTGGTCACACAGTTACCCAAGTGCGAGAAGCAGTCTACTTCAGCTAATTCGCGAACGTCTAGTTTCAGAACGGAACTCGGTGATACCAATTCTCGCAGCATCACTGCACTTTGAAAATGCAAAGCGCATGTCGAACGGGACGACAGAACTTGCCAATCTGTCTAGCGGGTTTTGCGCGTCTTCCATACATTGAAACACAAAAACATTGTCAATGTACTGTACGTCGCACAGTTCTCCAGCTGTTCATTCAATGCCACCGTTTTGGAGACACTGAAGGATATGGCGACTAACCAACAGCAGTGGCGTTCTTGTGGTCATTTCTTACCAGGTCAGAATGCTTGAATAGGTGAAGTGGCCACTTCCCAAGCACTGATGATGTCACCTCGGCTGGTGATAAAACGTTTGCAAACAAATTTTCAAGCTCGGCGAACAGGCGAAATAGAAACCACTGAGTTCAGTCACCGTTAATCTGATCTCATTGCTTATCTACATCACGTTGAAGTGCGCTTAGCTCATGTAGTAGTTCTGACTCACAGTGTGCACGAACCGCTGGGAAAGACGGACGATGATGAGCTAACTGATTTTGTCTCTGACAAATGAGCCGCATCCAAACTGATGCGTGATCAGACTCGACACAAGTGGTCCAATACGACCTGAGCCATGTCAACGGTAGCTTACTAGCATATGGTCGATTTGAGACGGTATAATAGTATGATTGGAGTGATAAGTTGCCGTCCGTTGAGAGCTGTATCGGACCTTGGTACCAGATAAGAACAGATGGTGGACTGCGCAGAACTGAAGAAGTCGATCGCTGTTATCGGTTCGCTGGCAGAGTAGAGCACAGTAACCGCCTAGGCCAGCTTCTGATGCACTCAGTTTTCCCATCTGCGCGGTAGTCACCTGCAAGTAGAACTATGTGGGAGCTAGGACTCGTCCAAATGAGATCGATGATATATAACCAAGCGTCTCAAATAGCTTCTGTTGAGGAAGCCTTACTCAGTCTTCCCGTGGTGATATTTTTACACCAAATTGAGAGAACGAAAAGCCAATATCCGCATCGGTGAACCAATGGTGGTTCACCAACGGTCTTTGGCTAAAAAACCTGATTCCAAACCAACCAAGAAGAGGCGTACAAACCACACCCAAACCGTGGTTGTAGTCATTGGCTCGATCTGGCACCTTGGACGTTTGATCCCGTCCAAAGGGCGTATAATTTGACGACTGAGACACGGGCCACCAATGAATTGCGGTTTCACACCGCCCCGCTCCTTGCGCGTCAAGCTTTGACTAGTTGAAGGCTTCTGTTGTGAATTCCCCAGGAAAATTCACCTGCCTTGGCCTTGATAGCCTAAAAGTAATCCGCTCACAAACAACTCGTGAAACTCTCTTTTTAAAAAGATTATTGTACTGTGATTTGTTTGGCATACAATCTGGATTCAGACACGTATGAAATACAAAGACTTGAATAAAGTCTGGGATGTTTGAGCAGTAGCCCACTTATCACGACCCACCCGTTTGATGCAATGGGCACTGCGGTCCTGATTCTCCTGCGCGACGACCGATGCAGTACGAAATAATTATAGTTTGTCTATTCATTGGAGCTTTACAGACGGGTACTGCCGTGGTTTTCAGATACTAAGCAAGAGAATGATTAGGTTTTTCAACGCTCCCGTTTTGGATTTTCGTCCCGCTGTCTTGTGGGTCAGACTTTCGAGCTCAAGGCTCCGGTTGGGGTTCCCAAAGAAAAAGCCCTTCTTGGGTGTGGGCAGCCGCGAAGTATGCAGTGCCCTAAAGTGCTAAGTACCCGTTTGGAAAAACCTCTCTCCGATAAATCCGGTTCTCCCCCTCAATCCGGAATAACCCCAGACGCCTGTGTACGCCACCCATCGAATATCACTCAACGTTTCACCAGCAAGCCCAAACAACCAGAAGTTACGGGATTCCTGAAGCCAAAATTCCCTTTTCACTTAGCCGCATTCAATGTACGCACACTCTATCAGACCGGTCAACAAGCTGTTTTGGTTAGAACCCTTGAAACTTTTAATTTAGATGTATGCTGTGTCTCCGAAACACGCAAACAAGACCCTACTTCAATCATTTCCCTGCGTTCTCCTAACCCAGCCTCGATCTCGCGCTTCACCGTTTTCTATTCATTAAAATGGGCATGTTTAATGGCTGTTAAAACTGAAACTGAGATGAAGTCACAGTCAACCCACTTCTACGTCCATGTAGCGCCTGCTGCTTGATGTACTAAAATTATCTTCCGGAGGTAAGAGGATAGTCAGCCAACTGGCCGTAAAATGTTGCGCTTTGTTTAGCCACTAACCATTAGCTTTTCAGGTATGTTTGGTTAGGCAGCGCAGGGGTGGTAGCCTACCGGTTGAAGTAAGAACGGAGGCCATCAAACCGCGTCGAGGTGCAGTGTTTTTGTGGTAGTAAGTCGTAAGGCAAGAGATGCGCCATTAAAAAACGAAGGACTTTAGGGACGTCTCTGATACCGAAGTCCGATGAAAATTCACCTTAGGCCTTGCCTTCCTCAAGTACAGCGAAGTAAGTGATTCAGGTGAGTTTCCTTCGAACCATTTGTGTCACAGATTCATCCTCGCACGCGAGCTTACTACGGCAGACCGGACAGGCAGAATCATGCTTTCGATCCAAAGACCAAGTGCGTCACTAAAACAAAACCCACTACTAAGTAGTCCACACGCATACGTGGAAACACAAGGTGTAACTTTGATAAAAGCCGGGAGATATTGAGATTACTCCAACCGAAATTTCACCATAACTTCTGTAGCCAGATTATCATCTTGCAGGAGATGTATATTTGCACTACCTTGGAATCAGAACTTGTTTGTCAAACCGACTTATGGTAAATAAATTAGGTTCTGAGTGGAGAGGTATCCAAGTAAGTAAAACGCTTATGGTTTCAGGAGGGACAGAACTAAAACTGGAATCCGTTCGATATGTTTCATCGTCCCCGGTCATAAAGTAACAAAATATCGAACGCGAAAATAAAGTTTCAGAAAAGTACGAGGTGAGAGAGAAACAATCTATGCACCTCATGGTTTGCCAGTCTGCAATCACCAGTGACGTCTTGCACGTTGATCAGTTCAGTTGGACCGGCGCAAAAAACTCACCCTAAGATACTCAGGCGATTGTCCCGGTGTTTTAACAGACCCACGTTTTGAGGCGAAGATCGCCGAAGAAATCCAAGCTCTAGGATGTCTCAAAGCGCAGGAATCGGTCTTGGAAGTATCGAACAAACCTTCACCCTCTAACAGTTGCTAGAACACTGTCATGGTTTAGAGAAACCAACGACCACTGTGTTCTTACACATCCAAAAGACCCTCGATACCATCGACAGGAACGCGTAATAGAAACGTTTGCTGAGAAATGAATTACACGAAGAATATCCCGGTCCTCCAAGTTTTATAGTCATACCTTAGGTTGGGTGAGGGCCTATAGTCAGCTTTCACCTTCTCCAATAAAGAACGCCAGTGATTTTCTATATCCCCTCATTCTTTTTTAACACTGAAGCTCTGTAGAAAAGATAAAAATTCAACTCCTTTTAGGGAACTAACATTTTGGCGTGCCTTGCTGGGTGACGATTTCAAGTATTCGTAACAGACTATTAGGAGCCTGTGACTGCACACATTCTCTGTGCAGATCGACTAGATATAATCGGAAGATTCAACCACCTAGAGAGCCTGATTACATTTGCAAATTGAGTTAGGAGATATCACACTACGAATGGCGATTGTAATGATACCCCCGTTCCTTCAGATATGCATTCATTTCAATTACGGTGTTTTCTTCAAATGGTTAGAGTTATAATCACAAGTTGTCGTTCAAAACTTCAGAATAGTTTTTCAAACCAGTAGCAGACTATTCAACTCGTTTATTTCGAGCCATCTGTAGCCGTATGAAATTCAAACCAACATTCAATCAACCAGCTGACAGAACCGAGATTGGAAGTAACTGCCGACTCCTATTTGCCCACGACAAACGATCTCACTGCATCGACAGCCGACAGTAATAACCTTTGAAAGTGAAAATATTTAACGAGCAACGTGCTTCCAACGACAAAGTTGCAATTCGGACAAAATAACATGTCAAATTTATGAGCAAAAAGATCATATTTCTATCGATAAATTCTGTATAGGACTGTACAGATAGGATAAGAGTTCGAGCAACCCACTCTGTTTCGGGTGTGCTACTCACAAATAGGATAATCATAGACTTTGACAGTTCCGTCTGCAGACGCACTCAAAATTAAATGTTTCGTGGAGCACTGGTCTCCAGAAGGAGTGGGGCTAGTTAACTTGGTTGCCTGTGCCCAATTGACATCAGTCACCATGTCCGCATGGCCCATCAAATCGTACAGAGAGTTTCGCAGGTTGCGGGTATCCCAAAGACGAACGCTACGATCAACGGAACCCGTGACGAACTGATTGTCTCGATGAGGTGCCCAAGCAACCGAAGTTAGCCAAGCGGTGTGACCCTGGAATCCGATCATGGCTAACGCTTCTGAACACGGGGAAAAAGTAGAAAAAAACAAAAAAAATAAGAAATCTTAAGTAAAGAATACATTTCACTCAGTTAGGCGAAAGCAATCATGAACAACGTATGACAATGACTTGGACTAACCAGTCCTCAAACTTCGTCCCTTACAAAAGATCCTTTTTATTCAAGACTTTATCTATAAGGCATATCGCGAACCAGTCCGGGTTGGTGACTCCAGAATGCTCGCGTGGATGGTGTCAGGAGATACAACTGAACAAACCATCTTATATCGAGGCTGGACTAATCTGTAGCTTCCTCAAGCGTACGATGGTTGGGGAAGACTTTTGGACTAAGTACGGCCATCCTTTCGTCGTACCTGGAGAAACGCTCTAATAAAACCAACCTTCTCAACGAGTTACTGTTGAGAAAACTATACGCACTGCCATTAATTAACGGGGTAGCTTTCCCATCAAGGTGAGAGGACGAATCGGGGGACTGTAACCGAGTCGGCGAGACACCACCAGTTCACGCGAGGAGTTTGGCGTTTGGAAAGATTCTAAACGATAACATTATTTATTTCAACACGTAACCAATCACAGAGAACTGGCAAATGCGCCACAAAATATGAACAAAAAATCTGTAGAACTTATTTATGAGTTCTATGGGTATGTTTCTTTCCGGTTACCCTGATCGAAGAAGGGGGATAACCTCGGGGTCTCCACCCGAGACCTTTGACTGGAGAACCAGACCTGAAAGACTGCATGACGAAGCTTAGAGTCCATAGTCCAGTTCCGGTATCCAGTTCATTGGATCATACGCTATTTGGATGGGGTCAAACGTCCAAGGTGCCCAGTATACCTGGATACCCGATGGAGCCGGTGACCACTACCACAACCAGGAAGGTGTGGTTCGTTGGTTGGTTTGGAATCCGGGCTTTTAGTCAACTCCCTTAGTTGAAATGCCAATGATTCACCAACCCGGTTATAGCTCGGGACGTCGGCTATTCGTCCTCTCACCTTGGTGGGAAAACACCGCCACGAGAAGGTAGTGAGTAGGACTTCCCGATTAGAGGCTGGTTGAGACGCTTGGTCGTATGGGAGCATTTTGCGAGGTGTAAGGAAATGGTTACAAGACATCCACCCCAACCATACTGAGGTTTGCGAAGCCAGAATAGGCACAACAACCACACCGATACCTTCCGTGATCGGGAAATGGTCACATGCATAATTGAGCATCCATCACTGTTTGCGCGTGAGAATCCGTCTATAAGGTATCTGACCTGATGAAGTGGATTGCAAACCACGGGGTCCGTGAAACTGCATCGCAGGTTTGATTTTTTTAAGTAAAAAACTACAGTGAAGACCCAAAGCTTAACTATTCCCCAAAGCAACCAGAAATGGCTTTACAATCCACGGACATCTAGCATTTTGTCATTGTTAACTTTCATTTCATTGGCGATATAGACATATATATATATATATATATCAACTCAAATCGAGGCAGTGTACTTCGCAGCTCACCTG